TCTCTCTCTGTCTTTCTGGCAAGTGCTCGCACCCTATGGCAAAAACCTCTCAAAAAAAAAAAAAGTTTCCTTTTCACTGCAGCCTCATTAGCACTTGTCATTCTTTATTTTATAAAGAATTATTTATTTAACTTTATTTACTAATTTGTTTATTTATTTTAATTAGACCAGAGAGAGACAGAGAGAAAGAGAGAGGGAAAGTGAGAAAGCAAGCCACCAGGTCCAGGACTCAAACAGCAGTCAGTCATGTGGGAGTCCAGCACCCTTAACCACTACATCACCTGCCAGCCCCTCATTTTTATTTCTTTAATCTTAGCCAGTTGAGATTAACTTAGGGTTAAGTGGTATTTCATTGTGTTTTTTTCTTTTTTTTTTTTTTTTTTGAGAGATTTTCGCTGTAGGGCGTGTGTGCTCGCCAGACAGACAGAGAGAGACATAGAGACAGAAAGCGCGAAATAACCCCCCAAGGAGGGATGGTCACGCTGCGATCCCTTCTCCTCCATTCTCCTCTCAGGATCTTGGGCACGCACGCACACGCGCCCGGCGTGAGTTTTAAGCCACCGGGTCCGGGACGCAAACCGCGGTCAACTACGTGGGAGTCCAGTGACATAGCCATTACACTAACTGCTGGTTCCCTCATTGTGGTTTTGATTTGCATTTCCCTATGATAAGAGATACTGAACATTTTATCATGTGTGTTTTGGCTGTTCATATGTCTTCCCTGGAGAATTGTCTGTTTAGCTTGTTTGCCCATCTTTTAACTGGATTGATTTTTTTTTTTTTTTTGCTCTGATGAATAAATGCAAAAATTCCCAACAGATACTAGAAAATCATATCCAATAATACATTAAATAGATTATACACCACAAACAGGTAGTTTTTATCCCAGGGATACAAGGTGGTTCAACATAAGCAAAACCATAAATATAATACATCACATTAACAAAAGAAAAGATAAAAACCATATGATCATGTCAATCAATGCAGAAAAAGCATTTTATAAAATACAACATCCCTTCATGATTAAGACTCTCAGAAAAATTGGCATAGAAGTGACATTTCTCAACACAGTAAAAGCGATATATTAAAGCCATCATACTAAACAAGGAAAAGCTTAAAGCCTTTCTACTAAGAACTGGAAAAATTCTCCTCTTTCAATAAGAGTCTAGTTTATCTAAGAGGAGGGGTTCCTCAAAAAAGTGTCAACATCCATTATGGAATACAAGATCTTTTTTTAAAAAGATTTTATTTAACTTTATTTATATTATTTATTTATTTTCCTTAATTTGACCAGAGAGGGACAGAAAGAGAAAGAGAAAGAGAGAGAAAGCCTTCAGGTCTGGAACTCAAACCGTGGTCAGTCATGTGGGAGTCTAGCACCTTCACCACCACACAACTTGCCGGCCCAGCTGAAAGGTATTTTTAAGCAGAATCCAGACTATAATGTGACACAGATGTCTCTCTTTTAAAATAAAAAAGACATTTTTTCTCTCTTTCACTGCTTTATGCATAAAATTTTTATTATGAAAAAAATTAAATACTGAAACACATGGAGAATAATATCCATGTATCCATTCACCTATCAACATAAGCAAATAATAGCATCCTAGACTTGCTTCATATTGTTTTTTTTAATTTAATTTAATTTAATTTTTTATTTTGGTTTTGGTTTTCTGCTGTAGAGTGCTTGTGTTCTGCAGAGAGACAGAGTTAGAGAGAGAAAGGAGAAGTGAAAAATCACCCCTGGAGGGGATGACCGCACCACAATCCCTTGTCTACCATTCTCCTCTTGGGATTTTGGACATGCACACACACGTGCCTGGAGAGTTTTTCAAGCTGCCAGGTCCAGGACTTGAAGCGTAGAGTCAACTATATAGCCTCTATGCCACCTGCTGGACCACTTCATACTGTTTTCTTTTCTTTTTTCTTTTTTTTTTTTTCACTGTTATAATAACTTTATCTTGCATTTTAAAGAAGTTTATAAGCTATTTTTAAAAAGCTCCTCCTTACCCTATACCACCGTTTCTCTGACAGTTGCTAAAGTACGCAATAAGTATGTCAACAGCTTGAGCATCGACAACCAACCACTCACCAAAGAACTTGGCAGCTTTTCCATCTTGTTTTTAACACAATAGTATATCCATTCTGATGGTAAACATGCCCAGCCAACTCTCCACAAGACACTGTAAAATCAGTGGTGATGTGCAGATTAGTTAGCTTTGGCACAGAGCTGTGCTTTCTTGCCTGTGACAGCCTGGAAGCTGGTTTTGATACTGGCCCAACATTAGCCTGATGGGATATCCTTTGAAAGTAACTTGACAATTTTCTCTTGCCAATTTTAGTATCTTGTCTGTCTGTGGTTTTGGTCAATCTAGCTATGATGTACCTTGGAGAAGATCTTCTTGAATTGATTCTATGTGGAGTCCTTTGTATTTCTTGGGTCTGGAAATTTGAAAGCCTCTCTAGTTCGGAAAATTTTCTTCCAGGATATCATGGAATAGATTTTCAATGCCCTTATTAGTTTCTTCACCTTCTGGGATACTGATTATCTGGATGTTGGGACATTTAATGGTATCTAGTATTACTCATTCTTTATTTGTTTATTTGTTTGTTTTCCCTTTGGAGAGGTATTTTTGCTATAGAGAGCGTGTGCTCACCAGAAAGACAGTGACAGAGAGACAGAAAGCAAGAAATCACCACCCCCGGGGCGGTTAAGGCCGCGCTGCAATCCCTTCTCTTCCATTCTCCTCTCGGGATCTTGGACACACATGCACATGTGCCAGACATGAGTTTAATCCACCGGGTTCAAGACTTGTACCACAGTCGACTACCTGGAGTCCAGCGACATAGCCATTACGCCAACTGCTGGCCCCTATTACTCGTATTATTATTCTCATTTTGGGTGGTTATTTTCTCAGTCTTTTTGGTGAATTTTTCTAGTCAGAGGTTCTGTCTTCTGCATCTGAGATTCGATCTTCTGCATGATCTAATCTGTTTTTAATACTTTCAGGGGAGGTTTTGATTTCCTGTATTTCAGCCTTCACCTATAACAATTTTATTTGATTCTTTTTTATGATGTATTTTCTCTTTCAGATCATGCAAAAACTTCCTTACCTCCTAGAACTCGTTGGCTCTTTTTTCCCCCACATCTTCTGGAGTTCATTGTCTCTCTTCTCTTGCATCTCTTTAAGCTTTGTCACTATGAATATTCTATATTCTTATCCGACATTTCTACAAGTTCCATTGTATTGTCTGTAGCAGATGAGTTACTCTTTTCCCTTGGGGGAAAGATTTTTTTTTTGGCTTCTCATATTTCTTTTGCCTCTGTGGTGGTTTCTGGTTCCTTGATTTTTGGAGTTAAATCTGAGCATTCAGAGGTATGCAGGAGGAAGTGATCTGCAATCTCTGCGGTATCGTTATTCTCCCATTGTTATTCTCCCGTCATACAGCAGATTTCATGGGAATTGAAGATTACTCTGACCCTGGGACCAGCAGTTAGCATAATGGCTATGTCACTGGACTCCCACGTAGTCAATCGCTGTTCGAGTCTCGGACCCAGTGGCTTGAACTCACGCCGGGCGCGTGTGTGTGTGTGCCCAAGATCCCGAGAGGAGAATGAAGGAGAAGGGATTGCGGCGTGACCATCCCCCCTGGGAGGTGAATTCTCGCTTTTGGTCTCTCTGTCTCTCTCTGTCTGTCTGGTGAGCGCACGCACCCTATAGCGAAAACCTCTCCAAAAAAAAAAAAAGATTACTCTGACCCTGGCTAGATCTTAGCGTTAGGAAGGTAAAGTCTGGGCAGAAAATCTCCAGTTGTCCTAGTCCCTGAATGGGGCCACTCAAGCACTTCGTATTGTTCAGCCTTTTTTTCCCTTTTTTTTTTTTTTATTTTTTATTCAGAGAAAGCACCCCTCAATGGAGCATGGTCATGCTGCAATCCATTTCCCTTCATTTCTCCATCCTGCTAGGACTTTGGGCACATGTACACACAAACACACACCTGGAGTGTGTTTCAAGCCACCAGGGCTGGGATTCAAACCATAATCAGCTATGTCAGATTCAGCTCCTTCAGCACAGCACTTAACTGCTGCAATACAGAAGTAACCCCAGGCATGTTTTAATTGCCCAATTTCAACTCCACAAAAACCCATGAAGCTAGTGCGGCTTCATCTCTTCACCTGCAAAAGGACTCAGTTCAATGACTAGTTATCTGGGTCCTTACGAAGATCCAAGCCTGACCTAGTCTCCTGATTTACAGCTGAGATGATCCAGGCCCAGAGGAGTGTGACTTATGGTCACATTTTGTTTAAGGGTGCAGGAGGACCTGGTCCCTTGGGTGGGGTCTGTCTTCCTCAGAAAGCCCACACTGGGGTGGTGCTGATGGCAGCTCCAGGAGACTAGTGGGGAGCAAGAAGGTGTGGCTTCCTGGTAAGCATAGCACTATCAAAATCTTTTGAAAGATAAGAGTTGGGAACCAGCAGTTGCGTAATGGTTATGTTGCTGGACTCCCATGTAGTCGACCACGGTTCACGTCCCGGACCCGGTGGCTTAAAACTCACGCCGGGCGCGTGTGCATGCGTGCCCAAGATCCCGAGAGGAGAATGGAGGAAAAGGGATTGCAGCGTGACCATCCCCCCTGGGGGGTGATTTCTCGCTGTCTCTATGTCTCTCTCTGTCTGTCTGGCAAGCGCAAGCACCCTATAGTGAAAAACCTCTCAAAAAAAAAAAAAAAGAGTGACCCCTTACACTCATACTGGATGAAACCCATTTGTTTTTCTGTCCCAAAGAAGAAAACAATCTGTGAACACAATAGTGAACTTTAATCAACCACTTTTATTGAGCAGTAAGAGTGTGGGGACCTGATTCTGTACTTCAAGCTGTACTGTATAGGAGGTTATCAGATTTCATTGCTAGAGGCAAGTTGCTGTTACAGAGATCAAAGGGGCAGAACCACTGCTTTTTTTTTTTTAATCATTATTATTACATGCAGAAACATTAATTTTCCCAGAACTTGAATCTAAGACTGTAAATTCTCCTAAGTGGCTCTTCTCTTCAGTATAAGATGAAGCCCCATCATAACAATGGCTAAAACAGTGGAGATGGAAAACAGCCACAGTGACCAGCACAAAATTGTCACCGCATCGGTTCCCACCAGAGTATCTGTGCAGAAAGAAGCCACCACCCAGGCCAGCTCAGCCTCATGCTGTTCCACACAATCTCAGGGGTTGGGGGGCTGCTTGAGCAGTCCTGAGAGTGCCCAGAGACCCCCATACTCCCATTCTGAACACACTGGCTTCAGGCAAGGCCCAATTCTACCTAACAGATATGCACAAATCTTCCAGTTTAACTCCTTTTTATGTGGATGGTATTGCTATTAGGATACAGAATCTCAGGCAGGCAAATGCAACCTGAATATGCTGCTTAATATTTTACATCGTGGCTTATGATGTATAAATACTTGTTTATAATGCTATAGGAAGGGATTGAGAAATATTTTCCTTTCTTGCCCTGGCTGACACGTCTCTTTCCTACCCAGTTGAAAGCACTGGAACAAGGCCTTTCGTATGACAGATGCATCTTGAGTACCTGCAACCTGAATGAACAAACAGGTGACAGTAGCCACTAGGTGCCGGCAACCTCCTCTACTAATTTTATAACTTCAATGAAATAGCAAAACTCTCAGGGTGGTAGAATATTTCATTTGGCACTCTAGAAACAGATAAAAAATAATCCTTAGAGTCTCCCAATGGCCCTTAATATCGGAAATGACTGCCCATGACAGTATGTACTAACCCACTTCATGTTACCTTTTGTTTGAATGACTTAACAAAAACCTCAGAGTTACCTACCTCCTCTAAATGTTTGTTCCCCTACATAAACGTTTTAAAGAGTGGAGACCTCAAACTAAAGACAAACTTCCTAAGAAACACTGTGCTACTTGTGGGGAATTCAAAGCCTAAGACTTCCCCACTAAGACCCGTATGAAGCCCCTGAGTGATGGATACACCTAGGCACAGGTGAGCCCTGGCAAGTGCAACCACTGCTACAGAAAACATGTCCAAGTGGCAGGATGTGAGTAGAGAGGCCATCCCAGGGCATGTGGTCAGGATCCAACCTTCTGTGGGCCCAGACGCTAGAGCACAGCTCTTCCCTTTGAAGACGGAGGGCCACCTCGTGCTGACTCAGAGGCAGCGGCCAGCACCTGGGACCTGCTATGTCTGTGCCATGCTGCCCAGGCTCCTGAAAATCCACCAGCAGGCTCTGAGTCTCCAGCTTGCCTGGCGTCATGCTCTTTGAGCTCTCTATCCTGAGAGTGCTTTTGACAAAGGACCGTAACGCAGTCAATCAGTTCTCAGTTCCAGATAACCAGCACAGGGTCAAACCAATAACTGGGCCTGAGACACAGGCCTTCCCAGTGCCTTAGAAACATTCACTGGGGCTCAGTAGACCAAACAGGATGGCCAAAAGAAACTCAAAGGTGCACTGTTCTATCTGTACAATTATGCTATTCACTCAGACAGCACTCTGTCCAGAGGCCCAGCTCCTGCAGTTCAGTTGTAGGACAGGTAATCGATGAGCCGGGGAGGGATGTTTAACTTGGCTATCTTCTCCAGCCCTCGGACACCGGTGGCTTTCCTCAAGCTTACCCTGCAGAGTTGTGACAGGGTCAGAGGTGTCTCTGGAAAAAAGGAGTGAGGAAGGACATGAGGTTAGTTTCAGGAAGAGTCTAACGTCTCTAAACAACTTAAAAACTAAGATGGGATTGAAAAAGTCCCTCTTCTCTGGAAACAGGATATGTTTTATGTGCCTTCTCAGGAGATTACCATGAAAGATAGCCAGGAAGGAAGACCAGAAAATGGATTGAGGTGATGTCCACTAGGATTTCTTTTCATTGGTTTTTTTGGAGGGAGGGTTGTTTTAATTTTTGTCTTAAGAGTCTTAGGTTTTGGGGTTTTTTGTTTTGAGCCACAGCATTATAATTCAGCACACAGATTTGTCAGCAAAGAACTAATCTGGAGCTAGTCAGCATGTTTGTCAATCTTCCAGCCAAAAAAAGCAATGGTTTGGTGCTGGGCAGGCATCAGCAACCAGCTCTCGTGGCTCTAGGCCTAAAGCCCCCCCTCTCACTAGTAAACGCTGCAGGCCACAGGGACCCCAGGAAGAACTTGGGCATCAGTACAAAACAAATCCAGAAAAGCATTCAAATACACATCCTTGTGGCAAAGAACAGGGAGCACAGGACTAAAGATTAAGTCTCCGGTGAAATGAAAGGAGAACTGGCAAGCCAGGGCACTCGTGGAAGGACAGAGGTGCCTGGCCCCCAAAGCCCAGCTCACTTTCATAGTACTCGAAGCACTTGGCAGGGGCACTGCTGCTCCACGTGTAGTCGGACGGCTTCTTGCCCCGGTTGTCCCGGGCATAGATGTTGCCTCCAAACTCAATGAGCATCTCGATGAGGTCAACGTTCTTCACCTTGGCTGCATGATGCAGGGCTGTCTCATGAAGTTTTGCTGCATTCACATTGGCCCCTGGAGACCCAGAGCAAGGAACAGAGGTCACTAAGAAGAGCACTTGGAGCCAAGAGAAAAATTGGCCTGCACTTCATTCAGCACAGCACACAGAAAGAAGGGTCTCAGAAAACAAAACCAAGACTCTCCTGTAGCTTTTTCCAAAATATTTTTTTCAAAATCTGAAAACAGTAATTACTTTTTTTTCCTTATGAGAAGAGAGCTAAAGGCAAGCAGCAATAATAAAGACACAACTGGGAATAAAACCGAAAAGAAGAAAAACCTGAGTTAGGCATCAGTTCTCTCTTTTTTCTTTCGAGTTAACTTTATTTCTTTTTTTCTTCTATGAGAGAGAGAGAGACAGGAACCCTTAACAAGATCCTCACGCTGCAATCCACCCCCAGTCTCAGGTAGCCCTGGATCACAGGAACTCACATACACCCAGCAAGTACCAGGTGGCTCTGGGAAGCAAACCCAAGACCTTCCCATGTGGGTCTAGTTGCATTTCCACCACCATCACTTGGCCCCTAGACCTCAGTTCTACCACTCTAAGCAGTCTGCCCTCAGAGGTCTTTAGACTTCTGGAAGGTCAAGTGGATCCACTAAAGTGCACCTCTGTCTGTCCTGAAACAGAACATACCACTTCTGAGTGCAGGCACAGGACAGAAACTTAAAAATATTGATTTAATGAACAAATAAATATCCCAGATGGCATGATGGTTATGTCACTGGACTCCCATGCAGTCAATCACAGTTCAAGTCCCAGACCCAGTGGCTTAAAACTCATGCCAGGCGCATGTGCATGCATGCCCAAAATCCCGAGAGAAGAATGGAGAAAAAGGGATTGTGGCTTGACCATCCCCCTGCAGGGGGTTGTGGAGGGGTGATTTCTTGCTTTCTGTCTGTCTTTCTGACGAGCACATGTGCCCTATAGCAAAAAATTTCTTTTAAAAAATTCCTTAAATATAAATTACAAAAGGAGAAAGCAAAGGGAAAATAGGTAATGTACTCAAAATAACATGGAATTCTGATGAGAGATTATCTCTTAACTGTGAATTCAGTTCTGTCCTCTTCACGTTTCTGAGATAATTGTAAATCATCAGAAAAGTACAAGAAATTCGTAGCTAAATGTGGCATTTTCCAATGCATTAAAAAATAAAGATTTAAATTAAAAATACAATTTGCAAAAACCATCCTTCTTTCAGTGCTGTTTGCTATGGCTGCTTCAAAGACAAGGGTCTGGGCAGGGGACTCTTCAAAGAGATGGCCTCCCCAAGTCACACAATGGATCTTTTCTGCATGTGTATTTGGTACCATCTGATCAGGCACAAAGGAAGGAAAATGAAATAAGGAGGAAGGTTGCAGTCCTTGCAGCAGTTAGAAGCTCCAGACTAGGTGTGCCTGCAGCCACAGGGTGGATCTTGAAAGTATAGTGCTGAGTGAATAAGGAAGAAAGAGAATAAGAGGTATAATCCAATGTTATTTATGCCTATAAAAAATACATGCCTTGGCGCGCCCCCCCAGGCCCTGCGCCAAGGCTGCGACCGGCGGCGGGACCTGTGCAGGCCCTCCCGGGCTCAGACCCCCCCCTCCCCGCTAAGGCTGCGACC